AATAATAATCTTTATTTAGCAAAATTGCAATAAATACATAACAAAGTTGTATTTATAATAAAATTATAAATTGTTAATATTACAATAATACAAATTATTACAATTTCTCATATCAATATTTAGCGAATTATATAAATTTATACAATAATTAAAATAAAAATTATCAAACATTTCAATTCTCTTATTATGTTTTCTAATATATAAACCATTAATCTTTTTTTAATAAGTTATTAAAGTTAATTTACTTTAAAATAACATTTAGAAGTAATTTAAAAATTAAGATTTACTTATGATGTTATAAAAATTTGTTAAAGTTATATTATTGAGCTTATTTTGACTTAAATATTAATTATTGAATTAAAATTTATACAATAAGTCAAATAAATAATACTATGTAATCTATATAACTGTAATTACGATTTTATAGTTAACGGTATAACTTAAATACTAATCATAGTTTTTTTTTGTATAAAAATGTGTTTTTTTATTAGGGATGTACAACTAAATTGGTTTTCAATAAATTTAATCTCAAGTTTTTATTAGATAAACGAAAATATAAAATTTATTGATAATTAACGTTTTAGATTATATTATGTATTTTTTTAGTTAATTATTAGTGATTGTCCTTATGATTAAATTATGTGTCGATAAACTTAAGCAAATCCTCCAAAATTGGACACATTTTTTATTACACAACAAATCGATCCTAAAGATAATATTATAATTATGTTTGTATTTAAAAAATACATATTTGATAAAATCCTAAACATAAACAAATGTTTGAAAACTTAAAATTAAAAAAATGATTGCATCACTAAAAATGGTTTAAATGTCATATTTTTGTTTTTATTATTTTATATGATAAAAGTATAATATTTTAATGTACTTTAGTGTTATTTTTAAAAATTATTTACATAAGACTTAGTTAATAATTTAATAACAAATATTTACTTTTTATAAAAACCCATTTCACTCTATTTTTATAAATTAATTTTTTAAACAATAATCTCATTTAAAGGGATAAAATTACAAAACAAAAGGCCCTTAAAAACTAATTATCAATTCCTATGTGATAACAAATTTTGGCCATAAAATAGATACATTCATTATAATTAGTGACTGAACTGATCATTTATTAGTGGATTTTAAATATTTAAAAATGATTTTAATATTTTTATAGTGTATCATAGAGAAAATATTAATAAAATTTGTGGCTAAAAATGGTAAAACTTTTATTAAACATTTAAAAACAATAATAACAAACAAAAAAATAATTAATTAGAGTTCTTATCTCAAGTCTAAACAAAAACGTGATTTTATGTGAAGATTGTACTGAAAATTGTTGTGGATTTAGATGATGTATATATAGTATATACTATATAGTGTATAATTATATCAAAAATTTGTTAATGAGAAACAAACATTTTTATTATTAATTAAAACCAAATAACTTTTTATACACTTTTCGTATTGAAGAGTATAAAAATAAAAAACATTGTCTTATTGATAATTTATTAAATAAATAAATGTTACATTTTTATTTATTTTATAAAAATTATTAATTTGCCACAAAATTAATATTAATTTACATAATTAATAGCTAAACTAAATTAGTTTTTTTAAATGTAAAAAATGTTTAGGTATAGTTTAGTTTTATTTTATATGATATTAAAAAATGTAATATACTTATATTACATCATTAATTTATTTAAATAAATTATTAATATAAATGTACTGCTATTATAGTAAATATACACAAGACATTAATTAAACAAAGTTAATTGATATTGATTAAAATTTTATGTTTTGTTATATAATATGTTTAGACTGACCAACTTTGTAGATGTGCCATGTATTATAAATTTATAAAATTCATTGTAGTATACAAATTAAAAAAATATTATTTTAAACATAAAATTATAGAGAAATATTACTAACTAGAGTTGGATAAAAAAGAAAAATTTCTAGAATAATAGATAAATTTTTGTCTATGAGATGACCATGGTTAATTTTATTATCTCCATATTTGTAATCTTGAAAGAATTCATTTTAACTATAAAGATTAACTAAGTTTTATTATTAGTATTTTAATTAATATTGAAAATAAAAAAAAAATAATTCATTTAATTAAATCAAACTAGAAATATAAATTAATTATGAATTTTACAAAAACTATAATTATAATTAGATAATTATATTAATTTTATAAATAAGAATTAATATAGTAGTGTGTGGTATATATTATGTATCATTAGTACAGTATTACAATAGCTATAGAAATCCTTATTAAAATATTATTAGGGTATCCCATAGTATAATGATAAAGTAAAATTTTTATAGAAATTTATTCCTTGTAAACTTTCTAGAAATTTTCTTAGGGAAATTTATTAGAAAATTTCTATTTGCCCATCTCTAGTACTAACCAAAAATCAAAATAAAGTTGTTAATAATAAAAATAATATCATAATAAAATGTTGTCTATATTTAAAATAAATAAATAAATATTAATCTATCATAAGTAATACTAATGAACTTAAAATTATATACTTATTTTATATGAAAATTTTTATAATTAAAAAATAATATTTATATAAATACAGTAGAATATATGAATTGGTTATTTTTATTATATAGATAATTTGAATATCATTTGGTTACTCTGTATACTATACACTTGTATATACTGTATATGACTAATATTAATATATAATATTGTATTATATAATATACATTACCAACAAAACGAAATGAAACTAATAATAAGATACAGTATATTCAAAAATGATTTTAAAAGTAATAACATTTTTAAATTATATAATTATATAATATTTTTATTACGGTATTCACTAATATAAATGAAGGACGTATTCATTTAAAACAAAATAAATGATTATTTGTCTCAATTAATATTTCATATGTTATATTTTGGCAATTTATTAATGCAGATATTATATCCTACATATGATATAATACAGTATTATAAAATAATAATATGAAGTTAAGCATAACTTTTTTTGAATAAAAAACTAGAATATAAATTAAATGATTTAATAATGAAAATGAAACAGTGAAAAAAATTAATTGTAATTTAATGCCAAATTTTGCTCCCTTTTAGCCTTCAAATATATCATTAAAATTATAATAATATTGTTATTATTGCTATTAAATTTTTCATTTGCAATATACAATGTACAGTATATTCAAAAATATCATTAAGTATTGGAAGTAAAATGAAAATCGATAATATATGGACCGCAACTATGGTTTAACGAAAACAATAAATCAATTCAATATATGCTAATAATTATTTTTAAAACACTTTTTATTAAACTTTGATTTTATATACTGATATAATATTATTAATAATTTATTAATATATTTATTTGTATAAATAGTAGAAATTATGTGTATGTGTTTTGAAACAAACATTTACACAGAGAGGGAATGGGAACCACAGTTTGAGAAATGCATGAAATATGATAATCAAAGTTAAACTAACTTTTGTATTAAAACCTTTTGTCAATTACATAGAAATTATTTTTGAAAAATGATATAATTTTCTCCATATCTCATAACTTGAATAAATGTTTTTGAATGAAACAAAATATAATGTATAAGTTATGTGAGTATTATTAAATATTGTGTGATTATATTCAATTTGATAGCAAACAATACACACAACATATGAAACAAACAATAACATTATTATAGCGTTTATTATAAGAAATTTTCGTGACTTTAATTAAGCGCTGACTGGTGTCTGAATAGGCCGTCAATTGGCCCTCAAATTGAGCCCTATTTTGGCCAAAGGTCTTGTTTTGTCTGATTTGGATAACGAGTGTGCCGTTTGTTTGCTTCAATTATATTATATGATAACTATTCACTATATTATTATGTGCCATATATATATATGTATTATATATATATAATATTTAGGACTGCTTTTACCCCACAATAACAATAAAACTAGTCTAATGTCTAATGTGTTTATAGAAATCGTGTGTTTATATAATGCACACAATAATCCGTTATTTAAATAATCACTTAGTTTTTGATTTAATTAAAGGTTAAATGTTGTGAACATTTGTCTGCAATTTTCTTATGTGTAATAATTTTTTCGTGTCTGTGAATTTTTATTAGTTTATAACAGATGTACACACATATAAATATATAATATATAAATATGATGTTATATAACTTTTTTTATAACTTATTTTAAGAGTTGTTTTTTCCTATGTTTACAACCAATAACAAGGTTTTTGTTAAATAATGCGAAAAATAAATTTTATTTCTCATCTCAACGAATGTATGTCTGCACTCCAGACATAGTTTTACAGATTCATGTTTTTTGTTAAAACAATTATATAAATAATTTGCTGTTTTTAGTAAATTAACCTTTTTATACAACGTTTAAGATATTTTTTAAAATATATAACTTTATATATATATATATGGTATATATTTACTCTATTTTTGAGTTCAAAAATTTTTGGTCCAACAAAAAGTCAAGTGCTTTTTTGAGAGCCTATTTTTAATGGAAATATTTATCTGTCAAAAACAGGATTTTTAAAACTGATATTCACTTAAACACTACACTTAATATAAACTAATTGTATATACAGTGAGCTCATATATTGTCAATAAATTAGCGACAATTAACTGTGCGATTGTTTTTCATTGAAATAATAGTTTTGTCATTTCGTCAATTGAGTTGATTTAGTAGTATTTTGTAATTCAAATACAAGTCATAATAAAACTATGAGAAACAGAGACAACATTTATGAATGCATTTAATGAATGGGTAGTTATGTGTTGTTATGTGTTGTTATGTGAGTGTCTATTATCCGTATCCTTCCTCTTCCTCTCTTCTCTTCTCACACTTCTTTAACCGCATCTAAAAATGTAAAACAATATTATATATAATATATTTATATATATATTAATGAATTGAGAGAAAGATATGCTGTCTGTGTGTCTCATTATGGGTACGGACTGTAAGCACTGAGAGAGTCAATGAGTCCACGAAATGTAGTGATGAGATGATGCCATCTAAATCACCCCCGACTATGAAATAGTGTGCTCCGGGTGTAAAACAGGCCTCTCCTCTCTTGTTTAGCAATTGTTGTGCAGTTGTTTAGTTGAGAGTCGTGTATGTGTTGTCTGTGAGGCAAATGCTTTGAACAGTTGAGAGTCTCTGTTGAATGCATACCAAAGCCATGGCTCATGAGTTGTAGTAATACTCGTCTAAAGGACTGACACAGCAGTGAACCACTGATTCACAGTAACTCTCTATATATTATATGCTTAGGTGTACTCACTATTGCCGATACACACGGCTTCTGCATTACTAAAAGCACTCATACCTATTGGTTTGGCACCACTAATACTAGTGCTGTAATACCAGTGCTCTGTTGACTGACTTGTGAAGAGTTCTCTGGAAAAACAAGCGCTTAATTGAATCCATTATCAGAAGAAATTCACATATATTTATAAGACTTTAAAACTATTATAACAGCGACCATCACAACCATCACAACCATCACAACCATCACTACTATCACAACCATCACTATCAACCATCGCATCCAAAAACAGTGAACCACTACTTCTTGTGCTACCCTTTTCACTGGCAATAAAAGGTTTGCAATCTCTATGACTAAAACCTATTGTTCCTATTGCTAGACATTTGATTGGTGTTAACTAAACAATATAAACGCTAACTCACTGACTAATAATCATTTGACTATATATTTATTAAAAGCAATCAAAAAAATTATAAAAACAGTTTGTTTTGTTTTTTGATGAAATTGTTTTCAATTGTTTTCTCGTTGAAGACTTTATTTTTGTTGGATAATAATAATAACCATTACTTTAATATTTATTTATATTTTATTATTAAGTTTATACTAAATTGAAAGAGAAAACAATTTCTATTATATTTTTCGCACTGTTTTATTGAATGAGAAAAAAAGTTATAACACTCTCTGAGTATAAGCGAGAAAAGTCTATTATCGGCGTTAACTTTGTTTTATTATTATTTTGGTGTTTGTCTCTGATTTTTGCCATTCAAGTGCTGGGATCGACATTATAGTCAACGAAACCCTACTTTTTGAGAAACAATACAATAAAACTCTTTGTTGTGCTGTTGTTGTGACCAAATACTGACTACGAGTCACATTCACGATAATATAAAGTATTAATACTTATGATAAATATCGGGTATAAATACAGCATTATGTGACTATTAAATCACTGGTTATAAAAAAGTACTAAATTTAATACAATTAAGTGTATAATAAAATTATTATTGTTGCATAAGAAAATAGATATTTTAGTTTAATAGACTATTTTTGAATGTATGCAACATTTCTCAGTTGATTATCGATTTATTTCACTTGACAACTGTGTGTTTCAATTGTCCATATAATGTAAGTTCATAAACATTTTATTATAAAAAAATAAATTTTAATAATAGCTTTATTACTGCTATTATTAATTATTACATTAAATAAGCTAATTAATAATTAATTTATCATTAATTATTAGCAAACAAATCCTTATTAAACAACACACAACTATTTATATTTTTGTCATTTTAATAAAAATATTGTATTTAATTAACCTCTTTTTAAATATAATATATACATATACATTACATACTGTACGTGTGTGTGTGTGTGTGTGTGTGTAGCTAAAAAATTATACCTTTATTTTATTAAATTTTTATATAATATAGCATTTAATGCAAATTAGTGCTAAAGAAATAAAATTGTCATTTAAGGAAAAATTAATTTTATCAAATTTTAAGGACATTTAATATCATTTAGAAACAATTTAATTTACTTAAGTAAACAACTCATTAAAATATAGTTAATAATTAATATGTTAATGATAATGTATAAAAATTAAAACAAAGATACTTTATTTGAAATAATCTTTATTGTGGTTTATTTTATATTTTTACAAAAATTATATAATACTATATATTAAAACATTTTTTAAAAGTAATACCATTTTAAAAATAAAAATGTGGTACTTATGAAGATAAAAGCAAAATTAAAATATGTAAATAATAATTATAAATATTTATTAACATATACTGTAAGGTGAATACAACATTAGAGTCATTAAAATAAAACCTAAATTTTGATTTCAAATTATTTTAGACACTAAAATAAATGAATATTTGTGTTGAATATATATTATCATTTTTATCATTTATATAATATAATAAAAAATAAAACAAAAAACGTGAAATGAGTTATGTTTTTTTGGACATAAAATAAAACAAATATAAATACATATAAAAACTAATTCACTGTTAATGATCTCATGCAGTGATTTGTAATTCGTCTAAAACAACGGCCAATAATTTATAGTTTTTTTGTGGACAAAAATATACTGTATTTTTACTATAGTTTTCGTGTAATATCTTAGCAATAATAGTACAGAAAAACTATTTATCATTTTTTAAAAACTTGTAGTTATATATGTTTGTTGTGTATGTTTTTGTCAAAGAAAACATCACTTTATAAATAAAATATATTAAAAAAGAATAATTTTAAACAACAATTTCCAACTTTGAAAGCTATAAATTGATTTTGAAAAAATATCAACTAAAATGAGTGCTAAAAAATAATGAGCTATACATTTGGCTATTGATGTGCTATTGTAAGTGTATTTGAAGGCTTTCATGAAAATTATTTTTCTCTTAAGTGAAATAATGAATCAAAAAGTTGTGTAATACGAGAAACTGAAACTAAATTAAAAGCTAAAGTCGATATAAACTGTAGTTTAGTTACTATATAAGTCCTGACTATAAGTAGTAAAACTATCGCAAACCTTTTCAACAAACTTCAAAATACTTCAATATATTGTATATGATATAAAATGCCAACTATTTTAACTCAACTCATAGTATATAATATATAGTATTTACATATATGTATGTATTGCTGCTATTTTTTACAATAGATTAACTCTAACACGACTCCACTTTATACCCAACCATTTATATTGTATTTTCTTAACCGATAATCACATGAAACACATGATGTAATATTTGTGAATAGATTATAGCTTTTAGAGTAAAAAGAGATTTTTTTGTTTTAAGGATAAAAATAATAGAGAAAAACAAATAAAAATAAGACCCATATTTTTAGACCAAAGAGGTGGGGGTTTACCGCCCTTTCTTTACTTTAAATTTATGATTTAAAAGTGAGGGCAAAATATTAGCTAACATTGTCTGCCTGTGTTTGTGTGGGATTATTAGATAAACACAAAATTTTATAACTGAATATAATTATAATTTCTAAAGTTTCATATTTATATTACCCACACACACACACACACACACACACACACACACACACACACACACACACACACACACACACACACACACACACACACACACACACACACACACACACACACACACACACACACATACTGTATATATATATATAAATTACATGCATCCTAATACAGGATAGATAAATTTATATACACAAACAATACCTACCTTTTAGTGTCTGAGTTTTGTGATTCACGAGTTAGAGTTCAGGAACAATGAAATTAAATGTTATTAATATTTTTACAAAAAATATATAGTTTCTCTAATAGTTTCTCTAATACTCTCTCTCTCTCTCTCTCTCTCTCTCTCTCTCTCTCTCTCTCTCTCTCTCTCTCTCTCTCTCTCTCTCTCTCTAACAAAGCATCCAATTTAACCGCAATTAAATAACAGGTATTTTGAAAGACTCGTTATAATTATAGTAATGTATTTCATTTTAAAACAAAATACTATTAACAATAATAATGCAATAATAATAACAATAATAAAAAAAAAATTCTTGAGAGATGTCTGTTTTAGTCACAGAATTTACATAATAATAATGTTTGAGTTGTGATGAATGAAAAATAATTATAAAGTATATATCATATCATTTACCCATAGAATAAATATGTGATTTATTCTGTGATAAAAATCTTTTTAAGGAAAACTGTTTTTAATATTATTAAAACTATATATAGTATTATTATTAAACAATATAACTGGTATATAATATATATGTATTGAATGTTTATTTGTTTTCAAGTGAAATGCGATTTAAATACCTCTCTCTTTCTCTCTCTCTCTCTCTCTCTCTCTCTCTCTCTTATATTTTTTGTTTTGTATATCATTACATAATAATAGCTTAATGTCATTTTGAAAAAGTTCACAAATATATATCAAAGAATAAAAATAAAACTACAAATCTATTAAAATGTTATTCAAATTTACAGTACTTTTTATTATATTTCTCTCACCATTTAATTGCATTACTTATTTTCCTGTTGTTAAGGGTTTAAGTTTGAAATCTCAAATTTAACTTTATTAGTACTTTAACTAAAAATCAGTTTAAACCATAAATGAAACCAATAAACCTAAAAATGTTAATTTTAATCTCTATTTATCTTATATTAAATCTCATAATTTTTAATATACAATTTGATTCAAATATCTACATTTTTAATTATATAATATGTGTGAGATTTATTGAATAAATTTTTATGAAATGTGAGATTATTTTACTGTATATCAATTACATATAATATATAGTTTAAATATACTGTATATATTATTATACACTGTATATAATTTTTTATATTGTATTTATTATATTTATATTTCACAAAACAAAATAAATTACAAAATAATGAAAGTTTTCATTTTATTTCCTGAACTTTAACTTATTTATTATTAAATAATTAGTTTTTTATTATAATAATAAACTAAATCTATATCCATTTTATTTTTGTATTATTATTGTTATTATTTATTATATATTAATATATTGTTTTCTAACAATTCTTTAAAAAAAACAATTATAATAAATAAAATACAATAACTGATAGTAGAAATTGAGGGAAATTTTGATTTGATTTGGTCTTAACTTTAAATGTGTTATTGTTTAAGTTTTCATTTCATAAAAATAATAGTTTTTATTTATTTTAATATTAACTTTAAGGCTTTTTATTGAGATAATTTTATGTTTGCATAGTATTACACACACATATATATATATAATATCATTAAATTTATAACTTATAGCTGATATATATTTATTCATATGTTTCTTATGGGAAAATTTTCAAGACATGAATGCAAATACAAAAGATATTACATTTGATAGAATATTTGAAATGTTTTATAAAGAAAAAAATGAAAACAAAATATTTTTTGGTGACATTCTTTCGGTTCAAATGCTTGGCATTAAAAGACATTTGTTAAGTAATAAAATATTTTTTTGCTTTATTTCTGCCATCAAATCAACATTTGATGAGTTATATCATCAACTAAGCCATCAAAAAGCTATAGTATTTTCGAGTTAAGTGAAAACATAGTGTATATATACACACAAACCCAGACACACATACATGTTATTACAACTGTACAGACAGTCAGTCAGTTATTTTATTATTGATAACCCTTTTAGTAACTTGAATTCAATACAATTCATTTCAATCGATTTAGATTTCTGGTACAAAATCATTAAATCAAACAATAACACCACTAAACTATATAATAATAATAAAACAATTTTTGATACATTTGTGTTTTGTTTGATTGAATGGTTTTATCGCTTTTTGAATGATTGCAAAATCATTTATATATCAAAAACATTTTAAACGCTATTGTCTTGAAAGAGAAATGAGTCTTACAGTGAAAAATAATAAGTTTAATAATAAATTCATAACAAGTATAACATTAAGTTTTTTTTGGTTAAATGTAATTATAAAATGGGCGATAAAAGTTTACTTTAGTTTAGTTTATATATAGTATGGCATAATGGATAAAAAAATGTTTGTATTTTTAAAAAAACTTTTTAGGTTTATAAACTTTAAAAATTAAAAATGCAATGCAATTAAAAAAAACTTGAATAAGTTTTTATAATAAAAATATTTGCTCTAATTTCTGGTAATATTTTTTATGAAACGTGAATTAAATCATCAAATAATATGCCAATAGCTATGAATATATCATTTTTTAAAAACAAAAAACTTGAGATATGTCATTACATTTTCAAATTACAACCATTAAGACACCAATAAAAAAAAAGTTTAATTGATTTAAAATACTTATTGAAAGTAATTTAACAATACGTATAATTAAAATAATTAATAAAATGCATTGATTAAGGACTAAATTGTGTTAAGTTATACACTTAATGACATCTTCTTGTTGTTTAGTTTTTGTTATTTTTTAATTATTTTGTTGATATATCTCTTGTGGTGATTGTCCGCCTCTTTGAATCCAAACCATAGAGCACTCCATCAACTGTTTGACGGTTTTTAATTCAATACTCGTGTTATGTAATGTTTCGGTCGACAAAACACTTGCAGACACTGCAGTTCATAGTACTGGTAGATAAAACATACAACACATACAACACATAATGGTATTGAATGAGAATTTTTCTTTTGACAGTCATTGCAGTCCATGACTATCACCACATAATCTCTTTGATGATAATTAATGACAATCTCTTTAAGTCACACATGTTTTGCACAGTTATTCACTCCACTGAACCCATCTTTACTAACAAACTATTAAAATAATCGCAAACTTATGGACACTATAACCAAATAGTAGTCATGAGAAATATATATAACTGTTTAACACTTTATGTTTAGTTAGTTATGCTTTATGTCAACTAAAGATCGTATTAAATATTATGATTATAATTATTATTACTAGTATTGCCAACATTTTCAAATTTAATTAAAAACTATTCATTAAACAAAATATTTTTGATATTATATGACATTAGTCTTAATTATCTTTTAAAATTAGATATAATTTATGTTACGCTTAGATTTTATTAAATAAATGTGTAAGTTAATTTTAATAATGCATTTAATTTATTCATATTATAATCTATTTATGATATGTTTTAAAATAAGTATATTATACGCTAATAAAAACATTAAATTGAATAATAATAAAATCAAAAATAGCACATCTCATATTAAGTGCTAATTTTTATGTTTATTATATTAAACCCTAAAACTTCAATTAAAATGTCATTTTAAAAAGTTATCAAACAAGCAGTTAATTTGTAGACATTTTTGAAGGCTGATGTCATTATTTATTCATTTATATAATATAATTTTATCTACAGGGTGGACATAAAATTACTTAGTTTTAATAGTAATTTTATAATTTTAAGTTTTTTATAGTAATAATTTTGTTAAAATTAGAAAGCTTAAGTATGTTTTAAATAATTAATTTTTACTGAATGCACGATATAATGAATTTTTATATAAAAAATTAATTTAAATACCTTAAAATAATATCAACATAGAAAATAAATGTTGTTTAAATAATTTATATATCACACACTGTATTATATAATTGTTAATAATAATGATAAATAGTTATAATATTAATAGAGGCATAAAATATCGAATACTTATAAAAATATGATTTTTACTTAAAATGAAGTGATAATAATAGGGTTAAAATTTTTTGTAAACAATGAGAAAACTTGTCACTAAATAAAGCCATTAATTAAACATTGATTTTAATTTTAATGAAAACAAAAGTTTGATGGAAGAGTGCAATGTTTGTAGTAAAACAATAATAAATTTGATAATACATTACACATTGTTTATTAACTTTCATCATACGTTATATAATGAATTTTTCTCATTAAAAATGATTAAGTAGTGAAAATTGATTAAAATTATAGTGCAATATGTTTTAACACTAATTTAATTTTATGACACTTAACTTTTTGGCGTGTTTTCATTAAAATAACAAACAAACATTATTTTTATCAATAATTTTTATACAATGCTCTAATTTTATTCAAAATTTTGCATTAGATTTTTTTGGTAATATAAATAACCTAAAATAAACACAACTATTATAAAAATATTGATGCATTCATATTTAAATGTAGTTATTTTAAAAGATTAAGGAGTGCATTCATTGAATATTCAATTTTTTCATCATATTATTTATACATTCAATATTTGATAACTATTACACAAAAAATTATAAAATGTGTTACCAATCGAAGCGTTTTATTTAACTCTAGTTTTTATTATATAAATAAAATATCAATACTTATTTTATGTACAACAAAGTGTTTGCAATAATTTTGAAAACTTATTTTTTGTTGTTGTATTACAGATTCAACAAAAAAATCAGTCAATAGGACACAACAAACATTAGTGCATATATACAACACATCCCTGTTTTACCCGTTTTTGCCATCGTTTGAATCATTTATTCGACAGTAAAGTAAGTAAATAATCATTTATATAATTATAGTTAACTTTATTTTTGTACCTAAAAAAAAGTTTTGTTTATTTATGTAACACAAGTATAAACTACATTCAAAGTTAGTCTAAAAACAGTTTATCCTTTTTTTGTTATTGTATTTAAGCTCTGATGAGACATAATATATAAGCACTGATTTTTTCCACTAATACCTTAACAATTCATACGAATTTCTTTTATTTTTGCAAATTATTATTATTGTCATCAGATTCGCCAAAACTTTTTATTTTATTTTATTGTTTGCCATTTTTTGGCTAAAGTATTAAACGATTAGACGAAAGAGTTGTGTGAAATATAATAATAACAATAATAAAATAATAGTTTGAAAACTATAAACTATTTATACATTAGATATTTGCTGATCAACACTTGCGATACTGAATATTATTGCTACCAATAAATTGTTGCACTTTTTTCATTGTATTTGTGTTGTGTTGTATATGTTTTTACAAATCCTTTTTTTTGTTAACAAATAACACTTATTTAATTATTTATTGTCTTTTTTATGACACGTTTTAATGTTATGTAATGTTTTACTATGACTTCTTGTATTGACTATTTCATTGCTTTTTTACAGTATAAAAATACATTAGCTGTATATAAAAAAATATGAGTAAAGCCAATGCACAGCATTTTTTGATAAAATGAATTATTTGACAATAAAATAATAACAATTTATAATAATAATGATTATAACAATAATAATATTTATGATTTTTTTTAATTCATATCTGACCTCATTTTTTATCATTCATGTCATTCAATCAATTGAATAGTTTGTTTAGTACTAATTATTATCATTTGTCAAAATCAATTGGTGCTCAAGACCTACAGGTTTACTTCAATATGAATGGACGAGTATTTTAATAAGATATGTCTGTTTGTTCACAAAAAATCATTGGATGCCCTCAGAGGTAGAAACTGTATGATAAAAGCGGAATAATTTTAATATGATATCTGATGCCAGACTTTAAGTATCACTTGACATAAGTGAGTCATAAAGTGGTAAAAGATATAATGTATTTGTTTATATAAAATCTTTTTATAGAAATAAAATATATATAAAAAAGTATTTCCATAAATTAATATTTACTTTGATTTTAATATACATTGAATGCTATGCAAAATATATCATTAAAAATATTAATTAAAAAGAGTTCATTCAATGTACGATTTCTTATATTTAAAAACTAATCTTTTAGTTATTATTTATAGATAGAGTAATAATCGTGTTATTAATATTATGAGATGAAATGAAATAATAATTACATCAAATGGAAACAGCATTACATAACATATAATTATTTGATAAGTTTTTTATTAGACTGAATCCTCTCAACTTAGTAATTAAATCCTTAAGATATAATATAATATATATATATTACTTAAACATAAAATAAAAACAATTGTATAATTGAAATAATATTTTTTATTTATCATTTTGTTTCTCTTGTATACTATAAAAACAATACGTGAGTTAGTAACGGACTTACTGATTGAGTGTGAGAGAGATAAAAATAGAGAGAGAGAGAGAGAGAGAGAGAGAGAGGTTTAACAAAATTACATTTTAAAAATTTAATTGTTAGTTTTTGTTTGAATTAATTATTTTTATTAGTTTTTGTTTTAAAATTAGTTTTTCTAAGATTTGCATTAATAAATTGTGAATATTTTTGTTTTGTTTTAAGTGTTTTATGGGATAAATTGGCAAATATTTTATGTAAATGCATGTCTGTATCACTTAAAACAAGTTTGTGTTAAGATATCCAGGAGATCGGTGTCAGTGTTACGCATCGATAACCATTGATTTACTAAATGGTATTAAAAATCACGAAAAAGACTAACTCTCCAATAATAGATGACATTCCTATACATCCCAATACATCCCACTATTCCTCAACAATACAAACGGTGATTCCGGTTATGTCCTAATAAATAATTCATTGCATTCCCAATCAATTTTGGTATTTTTAGGATAACCTCTTATATTATTTTTATTATAATACTAACTCAGTTTGACTGCGATTATGGTTTTTTGTGTTAAAAATAATTGATTGATTGCATTTAAGTTAAACTAGTAATACAACACAACAACAAAAATATGATTAACACGTTATGAGCAAACTAAGCAAAAATTGGTTATAATATTCTCATTAAAAATTGTGGTGTCAGTGAACAGCTATCTTTCAAATAAATTATTAAATGCTTATAAATTTTATTTTGATTAATTTCAATTCAAGATATACTGTATATACAGTATAATAAATAATTGTTTTATTTTACGTTTTTCTCTCTTGACTTAACTCTTGATTGCAAAAAAATATATTATAAAGAGAGGCACGAGTTTCACACCCGTCTCTTAACAATTATCTACGTATGGTATGAGCACATGTATATGTTTATAGCATTTAGTATTACCATATTATATATTTATATATATATGTGCCAAACGTTTTTGGCATAAAATAGTATAAAAATTTTAACGAACTATTGACCTTTTCGTGCAATAGTTTATTGACACTAATTTTCATTGTCAAGGCTTTCATAGCAAAAGTCAAAGTTTGAGGCATTTTTGTTGCGATAAAACTTTTTTTTATAGATATTTTTCCCCTTATGACTGGTAATTATAAAAGCACTATGAGTTTCCTTATTATGTTTTTATGTTTTAAAAAGTCCTTATGGTATATGAAATAAAAGTTTTTAAAACATTTTTGTTAAAAGTGACAGCAATGACAGCATCAGTAAATGTGTTGGTTTCGCTGCCATAAGCACTGTTGGTCTCACTTGTGTAATCATTATTACATAATAGCCTTGAAAATCATATTTTTTGCTAACATTGTTAATATTGTGTTTGTTGTTGTTGTTATAATTTTAAAATTTTCAGATTTTTTTTTATATATAATAACTATTACAATTCAATGTCAGACAATACCGGTAATAATAAACTGTTGTTAAGTTGTTCACAAAATTTCTTATTGGTTTTTGGTTATTATTAACTGTTAACCAAAATTGTTTTCACTCATCATTTCTAATATGAAACATCTTTTACGAAATTAAGTTACGATTTTCAAGATATTTATAAATATAGTTTCTTTTTATACAATATTATTGTCAGTACGTCATCTGAATTGTAGGCAAAGCATAGCATGAATTTACAGTTGAGTTGTACTTTGAGGGCACCCGTAGCTCCGGTATCAATTTCTGCACCGAAAAACAAGACTTCATATCCGACATATTTTAGATAATATTAAATAAAATATATTTCACTGATAAACAGATTGACAGATAGATAGCATTGCAAATGTTATCATAGTTAAGATTTTTATGGTTTTATTTTTACTAAAAAAATTGTGGCAATATTTTATCACAAATTTAAATGGTGTAACCTTTGTCTGCGAAAACTGAACTTTCTTTTAACAAATTTATGGTAATTTAGAAAATCCGGTTAACATAAGGGCTATAATATGGTGTTAGATAAGTATGTATACATTGCATACTCTCATAAATTTATCAACACTATTGAAGTACAGCTCATATCTACTGAAAAATTTTAGCAAAATTTATATATATATTGTTGTCTCAAATACAATGAGTTAGGAAAACCACAAACAAATTTCTCTTCTATTGTTGTCCTGGTTTTCAACTTTTCAAAAAAACCATAATATTATATAAAAAGCAATTCTCAAGTGAAGTGTTTTTTATTAGATTTTTTTCGGATAATTCATTGAATGTCACAAAAATTTTCGTCTGAAAAAAGAGTATTACACTTGAGAGTCATTTTTTGGTGATCTAATAATTAATGATCAATAAATATATTGGTGATGAATAAAACATTACAGGCAAACAAAAAATAATTTTAGCAATTTTAAAAGCGTCAATAAAAATATTTTTTGTTATTGAAAAGCCTCTGAAAATAATGTCAGCGCTCTGTGAAAATTTCAAAATAAATAGATACTCATATAAATCTATGGATATATATATTACTTATGTATGAATGCATGGTATAAATATAGCATTATTTGCCTGTTTATTATTTTATGGCACTGGGAGGACATTATACATCTCTTTTCTAACTTCAGTATATATATAATACATTATATTTTCTTATTCCTTAACTAATTCTCGTTGGAATTTATATTTGAAAGTCAAGTCAAATATTTTTACCGACTTTTCTGAAACTTAAAAATCATTTAGAAATTTCTTACATAAAAAAGTTTATCAATCGTTGCGAATATTAAGCGATTGCATAATTTATTCACAGACTTATGGTTTAAATGAAACATAATCTGTGATGAATGTAATGTTTGACACATATTTTATTTAAAAACTTTTTTCTATGTATGTATGCAATGTATACTATACATCACATTCACATATATTAATAATAACACACATCTATAGTATATTTTCTAAAAAAAAGATGGAATATTATTGAATATATGATATATATTCATATTTTCTTTACATTTTATTTAAAAATTTGGTGACATTATATAAGATGTACTGTACTTTTATTTCGTTAAACAAGTAATATTTACATCAAACGTAATGATATTTTTTATGAAGTTATTATTTTATTATTGTTATTATTATTCATATTTTTATTCAAATATATAACAAAACAAAAATATTATACTGTTTGGTGATGTAAATGGTAAATGTTTGTATTATAAAAATGAAAAACTATATTATTATTTTTTGAATTTTTAATCAGATATTGCAGAAAATCTAAACTTTTATTTTTTAATGTAATCCATGATTTTTTAAACACAATGTTATATCATTTGTTTAGCACAAATTTTTAAATAATGTTTTAAAAATATTATAAAATAATAATATTTAATGGTATTTATAATATTTTCTACATATATCACAATCATTTAAATAATAATAACCATTTAAAGGGGCATTTTTTAATGTCACTAAACTTTTAAAGCTATAATAGAATAAAATTATGATAACAT